ATGTGTCAAAATTTGATTGTTGAAACAAACAATTTTTGGCATCCACAACAGATAATTTCGCCGTCCGGTACCCTCCGATACAAACTGGTGAGATTGGTTGAAAAATATTCATATCTCTGCCGGAGATATCGTCATCTAGACCAATCTCATCATCGTGCGACAGAGGAAAAATATCATCGTCCAGCATCTCGTCGGGATCCATGAACGAATCATCCATGTGGACAAGCTTATCGTCATCTTCACCACCGACATCATCTACCATGGAAAGGGTGTACAGTCCCGTCTGGCTGGAGCAGATATTCGCATTTACGTAATACTTCTCCGGATTGGTTTCGTATGGTTCACAGGGGACGATTTTGGAAAAACAGTGACGAATTGATTTCCTGTAGCATCCATTCCATCTCCAATAGCTCCTGGATGATGATCCGAGTCTTTTGATTTTTGTCCAACAGCGAAAGCAACACGTACTCGTGCGGAATGACCAGTTCGGATTGGAGGAATTCCATAACGTCCACGAATGGGTTTTTGAAGAACATCAACACGTAGAGTGTCACACCGAGAGCCCACATATCCAGTTCCGGGCCGGAGTAGCGGTTGCCTACCAACACTTCCGAACTGCAGTGCTCGGTCGGGCAGTAGAAAGTAGAAAAATGTTGCCCTTCCCGTACAAACGTCACCGATCCGAAGTCAATCAGCTTGATATAACGTTCTCGTCTATGATGTCCCGGTGCAGAATGTTCAACTAGTGCAGAAAAGCAACCGCATTAGCAATCTGTCGAACGATCCAACAACCCAGCTTCTCCGTCATCACGGGTCTTTGATCGATAAACTTGATAAGATCCATCCCGGAATCGTGGATTTCCATCACAACCTGAAAGAATTTGTCGTTCTCGAACCAATCAATCATGTTGATAACGTTCGGATACTTCACGTGCTACAACGGCTATACTTTCATCGGAATTTCCTGCTTCTCCGAGGTCTTAAACATAAACTGTGGCTCGACTTTGTCTTTTAGTATCATTTTTCGATATCACCAGCAACCTATCCGAGTTCCGGTAGCACAGCTTCACATACCCGTACGCGCCCTTCCCGGTGTGCCTCACCAGCGTGTACCACTGCGTCATACGGGTGACGGAGCCGAGTATTCTTGTCCACCGTACTAGTCACGCTGTTGAACGTCAACGGCTAGCCACAGCAAAACACAATCTTTTTTGCATCGTAGATAGAGTCATCCCCCTCGCACTAGAGCAATTCTCTACAGATTGACGAATTTTTTTAATTTTTTTTTAATTTGTCGGCTCTGATTTTGATGAAAATTTGCACAGTTGTTCTTTTTTAGTAAAGATGCCAATTTGTGTTATCAGTTCTTCAAATTATTATTATTTATCAAAAAGTGCAATTGGGTTCTTTAATTTTGAAAAATATATCAGTTTTTATATATCATCTGAAAGAGCTTCGTTTTCTGAGCACAGCGATATTTTTTTCGAACCCACACACTTTCATCTAGATTTTTAAATCAAGATTTAAAGCAAAATAATAACTGCACTGTTTGACACTAAACTGACAAACTGACAGCTCGCTCCCATACAAAGTGAAACCGAGGGGCGCTAATAAGGAGATTTTTGCAAATGTAATCGTACTCATTTAAAATAGTTCCAGTGTACCAAAATTGATGAAATTTTGGGTTTGGGTTCCATTTTTAATGCAGATTACGAATATGCATGTACCTCAATACCCTTAAAGAACCCAATTTTCGTTTTAAGCCTCATTGAAGCTCATAATGTTTGCTACAAACTGGCAAAGTTTGGTGATGGAAAACTCAAAAACAGTTATGATTTTTTGAAAATTTCTCGATTTTTACATTTTCATTAAAAACGCATGTTTTTCAACCGTGTATATTTTTCAAGAATCGCATTTTAATTTTGCACAACTTTCCCGAAGACACCATAGCAATCAAGCAAGCCGTTTTTGCAATATAGGTATGTTTATGCACTTTTTGAGAAAATAACTTTTTTAATAATAAATACAATTTTTTTCATTGATACTAACGAAATTTTTTACAGTGTATATTTTTTACACAATTGCCAAAATAATATCTACAACTTTGCTCAAGACACCAAATCAATCGAACAAAGCGTTTCGGCAATATATATTTTCAAACTCATTAGTACTATTTTTACAAAGGCCCTTTTCAAAAAGTAGTCGTGATTCAATATGAAAAACTGAGAGCACAAAATGGCGCCTTTACTAAAAAGGAACAACTGTGCAATATTTCAGCGTAATTGGAAATGATCAGTCAGGATCGATTTGCGAACCTTCGTGGAATGCCTCACTAGCGAATCAATCTACGAAAAATCTTCATTCATTTCTCGCACCTACTTGCATCGTGCATCATCTCTTTGCAGAAAATTTTCAGAATCGTGATCAATTTGCTTGCTATCTACTCAGCATGCGCGCAGCTAACCACAGCAAAACAAAATCTTTCCTGCATCGTAGATAGTCACTCCCCTCGGGCCTTCATGCGTTTCTATCGAAATGGGTAAGGTTTACTCAGTTGACAAATGTCATCATCTGAGTAACCGTTACCCAGTTTCCTCCATTGGAATTTTTGGGTAACTTCCCTAATAAAAAATAACCATAAACGAACGATAACCCAAATCATTGAACTATTCCACAAATGGTTTGGATGATACGCAGAACACGTCGTTAAGCAAATTAACCATACAATTTTTATTGGGGTTCCCTTTTGGCTGGACTGACTGATTTTCGACTCAAAAATGAGTAGCCTCAAAATAGCGTGCGTACTGTTTGACATACCAAAACAATACATTTGAACTGTCAAAATGTCGCGTTGCCAAACATACAATTATTCACACACAAGGTCTGGAACTGGAACTCTCGGCACAGCGCAGCACACTACAGGCACACTGATAAAAATGTTGGGGCAAAGTTGACGTTGAAGTTAAAATGCAATCAAAAGTAATTAAAGTAATTAATGCGTTTTGAAGTAGTACTGACGGTAATTAAAAGTATTGAAATGCAATTAATGTACTTTAATTACGAAAAGTCGACTGTAATTAATGAACCTGAAAAGTTGTAAAGATTCTACACTGTGTAATTAATGTAATTAAAGCAGTAGTTCATGGAGTTAATTTAATTGGGGTGTTTAGGGGTGTTTAGGGGTATTGAGGTAAATACATATTCGTTATCTGCATTAAAAATGGAACCGAAATCCAAACTTTCATCAATTTTGGTACACTGGAACTATTGTAAATAAGTTCGATTACATTAGCAAAAATCACCATCTTAGCGCCCTTTGGTGGGACTTTGTATCGGAGCGAGCTGTCAACGAATAGATTTAGTGTCAATGATCAAAAATTTAAATCTTGATTTAAAAATCGAGATGAACGTCTACGGGATCGATAAAAATATCGTTGTGCTCAGAAAACGAAGCTCTATCAGATGATGTGTAAAAATTGGTTTTTTTTTTCGAAGTTAATCAACCCAATTACAGCCGTTGCCTGCGTCGGTTATAGCGCGCCTCTAGGACCACCCTTTCTTAGAATACGATTCTCCTGGAATAGAAGTCTCAGAAGAATTGCAATGATATACCCTCCGAAATTACCTATGAATTTTCTTCAGAATTGCCTTGGATGTTATTTTGGAAATCTCCTAAGAATTTCCTTGAAATTCTCTGCAGGATTTATTTATTATATATATTCTTCGAAAATTCTCTTGAATTTTCCTGAAAATCTGTATAATTCTCTTCAATATTGCCCCTTCGATCCCTCGTTTGAATTCATCTGATTTGTTTTTCCTCCTAAAAAATTTTTACCAGACCAGAATCTGAACCAAAAACTATGTTTTTAACCAGAATCCTGATTATTTCAAAGCTTGGTTGATGATTTTTTGTATAAATCTGAAATCCATGAAATTTTTTAAATTGGCCTTAGTTCAAGAATCTTGAAAAGGTCTCCAAATTTGAATTATTTTTCTGTGTCTAAAATAAAAAAAAAATAAGAAGTTCCAAATCTGAAAACAAAACCCAACCCTCATGATCTAGACAATTATCTAATCTTATTTGAACATTTTTCTAAATCCTCAATCTTTGAAAAAAAAAAACGAAATCTGTTCCCTGAATCGAACTTTTTATAAGATCAAGTTTCAAAAATTCTACCTTATGACCAATTCACTCCAATAGTGGCCAAATAAGAATTCATTGATATTCTGAGACTCAAATATATGTAGGGCCCATCCAGTCACGATAGTCGATTTTTTCAGTCATTAATTTGTATTATTTTCAAACCAATCATATGAAATCATTAGATGTTATGATGATATTTTGTTCTTGTAACTGACATGAATAAACTATCATTAGGTACATACAGGTAATGCTTTCGTTATTCCGAAAAACATTTTTTACAGCAAATTAATAGCAGCGCCCTTGATCCGGACATTTATTACGTCTATTATTATGTTGCAAAATAAATATGTATGATATTCTGAACGGTTTTAAAATTATTTTTAAAAGTGTCTGTACTTTGAGCCTTGTATCAATGAAGAAATAGTGTTTCATTGTAGACGGCATAACCATTGGTACTACTGGCTGTTGAAATTATAAATGAAGCTAGGAAGATCATAGCTTTGAAACAGCAGTGAAATTTTATTTGATCGCAGACCCATGATTACTTCTTCGGTTTGTTTTCGAATTTTCATACGTCTAATTTAATCGCAAGTTCATCGACAACTCGCTTCACACCTAAATTCATTACAAACCCTTCATCTAAGCCGCGTGGTAGATTGATTCGTTCTGCATAACACACGATAACTTTTTTTTTACGCTGATCATTTCCAATCAGTTCATCTTCGATCAGTAACCCACCAGCCGGCTTAGGAAATCACTTTCACTCTCCAATCTATTAGGAAATTAATCTCTAAATTTTAACAGCCTTAAATCATCATGGTCCACAACCTTTCACTTATCTCCGGTTATCACTCACACGGATATTGGAGAAAAGCACTTATTCCTCATATGAGCTGTACCATTCGGTAATTAGTCTCAAACCGCCAAAGCACTGCGCCGAATTTTCCTCCTAAACGACAATAAATCTTCGATTTTGACAGGCAGTTTCACTGACCACTGATCGTTTTTGTTTTTTTTCTTGCTGCCTTTAGGCGATGATCAAATCTTCACCACACTAAAACGGACACGGCTTGGTGGTTTTCCACCTTTTCACTCTCATTTCGAGCTCCAGCACCACCAAGTGTTGGCATGCGTTGTGGTGGTCATGTTGTGTTCACTTTCGACTTCACTTGACTTCGGACGAGAGAAGAGGAACCTTCTTTTGGAATCTGTGAAAATTGCGCACTTGAACTGTTCAAACCGAATTTTCCTTAAACGATCCTTCGCGTGCACCGCACATCGACCGATTTCGACAGCTGCCTAATAGTTGCGAAAATTAAAAAGGCTTCACTGTGCTGCTATAATAAGAGTCGTGATGGTCGTCGTGAATAAATTTATGGGAGTTATGGGTTCTTTTTTCGTAACTGATGCGTCGTTTTTTTTTCGCACTGCTTGACTGCACCGAAAATGTGTGCAATCTTGCACTGGTGCTACTACTGCTATGAACTGCAAGTAAGACACTTTGAGATTTTCCGCCCACTAGGGAAAAAAGGCAACCGTTCCGAAGGAAATCCGAGGCTCAACTGACGAACCGCTCGCTGAATGGTGAACGTTTTGGTGCTGCTGAGGTTTTTCCAGCATGGATTGCCCCTTTTTTTCCGCCGTGCTCGAGCGTCGGAGAGGAAGGTGGTGTTTTGTTGTTTAGCTATTGTTGCTTTTCAGCCTCCTCCCTTAGCCGATGCATGATTTGATGGTACGGAGGGTGGCGATCTCTTTTCGTAATAGGCATACTACCTATACCTACCGGACTCTATGGGGAGTAGCAGCTGAGCCGTGAATCTTGGCACCAACTCATTGGTATATAGGATGATTGTTGTTGATTTGGAAGAACTTCGGAGAGCGAGAGGTTTGAGGAAGTATGGCAGGTCTTATTCTTCTTCTTCCTGGCTTTGACGTTCTTACATGAGCATGTGTCTGTTCCAAGGGGGACGACTCTATCTACGATGCAAAAAAGATTGTGTTTTGCTGTGGCTAGCACGCTGAGTAGATAGAAAGAAGATTGATGGCGATTCTGAAGATTTCCTTCAAAAAATTGATGAACGATGTAAGTAGATGCGACAAATGAAAGAAGATTGTTCGAAGATTGATTCGCTAGTGTGAGATTTGTTGACCATCTAAACTTGAGATTTAGATGTGTCGCCCCCCTCGGTCTGTTCTCAAGTTAGCGTTCTTAAAAGCACTTCCACAGTTATTAATTGAGAGCTTTCTATGTCATCCAATGCATGAATTTGTAAATTGTTTGAAACATTTACTGTATAGATCTGAGAATTTTATGGAAATCCCAGTAATTTAAAGGAAATTCTGCAAACATCAAGATCGTCCAGAACGTTTAGAACAGCATGTAAGTTTTAAGATCTCTAGGTAAGGTTTCAATAGCTTCAGGGCAGTTCCATAGATTTGAGGGAAGTTTCGAGAACATCAGTGAAGATGCAAGAGCTTCAGAGCAGTTCTACTAAATTCAGGGAAAATTAAGCTTCCATTTGAAAAACTTCAGTTGAGTTTAATGATCCTAATGATCCTATGAGTTTAATGACAACTCAGGACAGTTTCATGATTATCAGGAAAATTATGGGATTGTTCCGAAAAATTCAGGTGAGTTTTGGGTACTTTAGGGTAGTATTAAATTCATGAAAATACCGAGAACCTTCAAAAACCTTCAAAAATTAATGACGTGATTTTTAGAGGTCTTAAGGATTATCTTATTAATTTCAGGGCATGTCCAGAAACATCATCAGATCCCGAGTAGAATAAAATATCAAACCAATAGCAAATTTTGAGACAAAACCTCGGTTTTCCGAAGGAAGAAGCGTCAGCAGGAAGACCGAGATCGCGAGGCGATGGAAAATTTGAACCACGTAAACGACACACCGAAGTTCTACGAGAAGCTAAACAGTTCGCTCAAAGGCTACGTGCCGCAAACCGATATGTGTAAAGACTTGGACGGTAAGCTTCTCACGAACGAGTGTGAGGTTATTGAGAGGTGGAAGCAGTACTATGACAAGTAACTCAACGGTGATGCAGCAGAAAACGAAGGTGGCACGGCAAAAGACCTTCTAGCACGCGCAGAAAACGACAGGCTACCGGCTCCTGATCTTCAAGAAGTTGAGGAGGAGATCGGTCGGCTGAAGAACAACAAAGCAACTTGTGTAGATCAACTACCAAGTGAGCTATTAAAATACGGTGGTAAAGCACTGGGTGCACTGGGTAATTGCCAGGATTTGGGAGGATGAGATATTCCCGGAGGAGTGGATGGAAGGTATCGTATGTCCAATCTACAAAAAGCGCGAAAAGTTGGATTGCTGCAACTACCGCGCGATCACACTGCTGAGCGCCGCCTACAAGGTACTCTCCCAAATTCTATGCCGCCGCCTGTCACCATTTGCAAGAGAGTTCGTGGGGCAATACCAGGCGTGATTCATGGGTGCCCGCGGTACCACGGACCAAATTTTCACGATTCGGCAGGTTCTGCAGAAATGCCGCGAATACAATGTGCCTACACATCATTTGTTCATCGATTTCAAATCCGCTTACGACACAATCGATCGAGATTAGCAATGGCAGATTATGCACGAGTACGGATTTCCGGATAAACTGACGCGATTGGCCAAGACGTCGATGAATCGAGTGATGTGCGTTGTTCGAGTATCGGGGACACTCTCGAGTCCTTTTGAATTTCGAAGGGGTTTACAGCAAGGTGATAGACTTTCGTGTCTGCTATTCAACATCGCGTTAGAAGGTGTGATCAGAAGAGCTGGGATGGACACCAGTGGCACGATCTTCAGGAAGTCCATCCAGCTTCGTGGCTTCGCCAAAGACATCGACATCATGGCACGGATCTTTGAGACGATGGTGGAAACGTACATCAGACTGAAGGCTGAAGCAAGGCGGATTGGAGTTGCCATCAACGCATCGAAGACGAAATACATGAGAGGAAGAGGTTCTAGGGAAGACAATGTTAGTCTCCCACCCCGAGTTAAGATTGACGGTGACGAAATCGAAGTGGTCGACGAGTTCGTGTATTTGGGCTCACTGGTGACCACCGAAAATGATACCAGCAGAGAAATTCAAAGACGTATTATGACAGGGAATCGCGCCTACTTTGAGCGCCGCAGGACGCTCCAGTTCAATAAAATTCGCCGCCAAACTAAGTTGACTATCTACCCGACGCTGATTAGACCGATGGTCCTCTACGGCCACGAGACCTGGACTATGCTCTTGGAGGATCAAAGCGACCCAACAGGAACAAGAAGAAGAGGCGAGCAGCGGGCAAGGTGGATCGGCCAAGTAGAAGGCTACCTGCGGACCCATCGCAGACTACGAGGCTGGCGAAGTGTGGCCATGGATCGAGTAGAGTGGAAACAAATTCTTCGGACTACAGAGGACAATAAGACCTTAGTCTGATTGGTAAGGTAAGGTAAGTAAGCAAATTTTGATATTAAAATAGGAAATCTAAAGAACTCATTTTACTGTTGTTTGATAGATTTAAGAGATAAAATATCAAAAATAATATCAGAAAACCAATGGGCTACTAACTGAGTAATATAAATATAAGCTATTGGCATATCTAATGAATATCACAGTTTTTGAGTTTTACTATAACAAATCAATATACTCAATATTATATTATATTATAATTACAGAAATATAAAAATTAAAAAAGCTACAGTAAAGATTCAACTAGTCTTAAACCCAGGTTGTTTGCGTGACTGTCTCGTGTGCTGACCACGCAGTTGTATCTTTTTGTTGAAGGTAGGAGGAAAAAATACCAACAGTTTTTTCGTTAGTCATTACTTTTCAAATATGACACGATCTGCTTTATGTGTCGCGTGATTTTCAAAATGTTCAAAAATATCTCAAATGGTTACGGATAAGATATTGTTGTCAGCGTATTTGATATTATTAATTAGTATGTGGTTTTAATTGTTTGCGTAAATGTTTATATTCGACGAAGTAACCGAAGCGTCAGCTAATCTCGGGAGAAGTTACATAGCAAACTAACAACTGTTGGTTTGTTGTTTAATAATTAAAATCAATATCATATTAATTAATAACTCATTCTACTGTCATAATTTACTTTTATGTTTTTTTTTTAAATACTAAGTTTAGTTTTCAAAATATCAAAACAATAGAAAATTATGCTCTGAAGCAGAATATGCTATTAACACGTTATGGAACACACCATACCAATAACATTTTAAGATATTTTAGTAAAATGAGATAATATTTTTCTCTGGTTTTGTAACCTCTCTCTCCCCCACCCCCCTTAACTGGGAAGAATAGTAAATACTCCAGGAAAGATAAGAGAACCTCAGGGCATTCAACAAAATTTTAGAAACTTTGAAGAACTTCTGAGGAGTTAAAGGAAATACGAGGGGCGATCAACTTCATAAATCGGCTGAATTGTAAATACACACTTCAAAAAATACACACAAAAATACGCTAATGTGTACACGTTAAATCTAAAATACCTTAAATAAAATACACACAAAATACCTTGAAAATACTTTGTACCCGAAAAATCCATTTCATAATGAATTTAATACACTTTAATACAAAAATAAACAAAACTTATAAATACATATATACACGCTTATTGTGGTCAACTCAAAATTGAGTAGAATGTACTCATCTCAGCGGCAGGTATGGCTACACAGCTAAAAAAAGGAATGTAAATTTCCGTTACTATGATGCACATAAATGGAGCGTCATAAATCATACAAATTTACATTATAAATCGTGTAAATTTATGAGACATGTCATGCAATATTCCATATATTGTATGCAACTTTCCACCTTTGTTTGCAACATTTCTTGCAAGCTGCTAGTTTACGTGAAAAGGAAGTTTACATGCATGAATGTTTGCATGCATGGATGTTTACATCAGCAGTAAAATTCAGATTTTTTTAGTGTGTACTCAAAATTGAGTACACAGTTCGAAAAATTAGTGTAAATTTCTGTTCAGTAGAATGCACATAAATGGAGCGTCACATATCATATAAGTTTACGTTATATATCATGTAAAGCTCTGAGACATTTCATGCAATTTAGCAAATATTGTATACAAAAGCCCATTGTTGTAAACAATATTGTTTAAAAGTTGTTCGATTGCGTGAAATTAAATACAAGTTTACGTGAATCAATGTTTACATCACTATTAAAATTCAGAATTTTTA